GTTGATGAGGTTTAATATGCTTCAGCTTTTGAAGAACTTGAGATCGCGTTTCCGAGGGAAGGAGATTACTGATGCTGATATTCTCTCTTGGGCAAACAAAAAAGTCAAAAACACTGGAAGAACATCTAAAATGGAGAGTTTTAAGGTGAAGTATCACCAGTTCCTGTTCAATTGGCGTAAGTTTCAACTTTGTCTGTGATTTTAACTTGCAATTAGTGGTTTTTGTTTAGGATAAGAGCCTTTCAAATGGATTGTTCTTTCTCGAGCTTCTCAGTGCTGTGGAGCCAAGGGTTGTTAATTGGAATCTTGTCACCAAGGGTGAAAGTGGTATGGAGTTTATTTGTGCAAAATTTAGTATCTCGTCTTTTTTTCTCTTCTTGGGCATGCAGGCAGTCACTCTCCGTTACTGAACTGACAGAGTCTTCTCTTTCACTTACACAATCAAGAATGCCAACTTGCCCTTGCAATATTGAATCAACTTTCTAGCGTGAACTACTAGCTTTGAACTCTTCCTTAGTTTATGGATTGAGGAATTTGAATTTCTAGAGAGTGCAACTTACTTTCTAGGCTTTTAATGCTTGCGGTCTTCTATCTAACATCATCCAAAAGAATATCAAGTTTCTCAAAAGGGTCATAGTGCAACAGGGTTTTACACATTCTGATTTTTCATTCTACTTGGTCATCTTATGGGATGCAGTGCTCCAAACTAAAATTTCTTTTGTTCTGTGACAGATGAGGAAAAGAAGTTGAATGCTACCTATATCATCAGTGTTGCACGGAAACTTGGGTGTTCTATCTTTCTGTTGCCTGAGGATATCATGGAGGTGAGTATGCTGTCATTTTGAATTGCTGCTAATAGTTCCTGTGTCCATTATAGTAGGCTTAACAAGAACCAGATAGACACAACACAAACTTTCCAAGGTAAAAAGAATTTAAAACCTTCTAGGACTTTAAGACATGTTTAAAACAGAGACTATCTGACAAGTGAGACTAGCTCTAGTGGTTGAGCATCTCCACCATGAATAGGTAGGTTGAAGGTTTGAGTCACGCTGGATGGAGGGTAAATGGGAACACTATTGATCCTTCTGATAGGGTGGGTGGGTAAAAAAACAAACTATTCTTTGTCCACTTACAATACAGAGAAAAGTATGCCCGCGTCTGCTTCATCCTATATTCTTCTCTGTGCAACAATGTATTCCTGAGACCTGATTATGACACTAATCCTTCTTGGGGTCACGTGTGGACAGGTTAACCAAAAGATGATCCTCACTCTCACTGCCAGCATCATGTACTGGAGCCTTCAGCAGACAGCGGACGATATAGAGTCTCCTGCGAGTACTGTTGCATCTGATGCATCACCAGCAAGATCTATGAATGGCTCTATGTCCCCCTATACTGCTGCTTCACCTGATGCATCCCCTGCACCTTCAATTAGTGGAGCATCATCAGCTACTCCTGACGCATCTCCAGCACCATCTGTAAACGGAGATGAGGAAAGCCCACTTATTACTGAAGTGTCAAAGTTGGAGTTGGTTGCTGACTATGCACCATCTGATACTCCTGAAGTGTCAAAGTCGAAGTTGGCTGCTGATGATGCACCATTTGATGCCACTGAAGTTTCAAAGTTGAAGTTGGCTGCTAACGACACTCCATCTGATACTACTGAAGTGTCAAAAGTGGAGTTGACTGCTGAGGACGCACCATCTGATACTACTGAAGTATCACAAGTGGAGTTGGCTGCTGACAACGCACCATCTGATACTACCGAAGGGTCAAAATTGGAGTTGGCTGCTGACAACGCACCATCTGATACTACTGAAGTGTTAAAACCAGAGTTGGCTGCTGAGGACGCACTGTCTGATACTACTGAAGGGTCAAAATTGGAGTTGGCTGCTGAGGACGCACCGTCTGATACGACTGAAGGGTCAAACTTGGAGTTGGCTACTACCGATGCACCATCTGATGGTACTGAAGTGTCAAAGCTCGAGTTGGTTGCTGACGATGCACCATTTGATACGTTAGCATCTCCAATGCAGTCTCAAAATGTAGAGATACCATCAGATGCACCCTCATCCTCACTACTTGAGGATACACAACAACAGTACAGCCTCTTCTCATGAAGTTGAAAATGAAGGTACAGAACCAGATAATGAACTATAGTTAAATGTTTTCGTCTTTACAGCTACGAGGGACAAATAATAAGCTAGCGGGAGAAAGCAAGAAGAACATAAACGAAGAGAACATACATGTGTTTTAGATGAATTATACTCAAAAATGCGAAATGCTTTTAGATACAAATATAGATAAAAAGTACACAATGTTATCAACTCAGCACGATAGTACCTCTGGAAGAATCAACTGTACTATTTCCAATTTTGTTTCCTGCTACTTTTTTGTAGTTTTTTTTTTTATTCTCATCTGAATGTAAGTAGAGAATTTGATTCATTAGATGTATGATTTATATTTTGAAAATATTCTCAGTAATTCATACTTTTTATTTTTATTTTTTGAGGTTGCAACACTAATATAATAATGGAGAAGGGAAGAACATTAAAAATGTTATGTATTTATTCATTTGATTTAATGTAAACATACTACTATAAAAGTGTAGTTCTTTTGAATGATGAAGTAGACTTTTTCACGATATATATTACTACTTCCAATTGTGTTTTTTCGTGAGAATTTGATCATGTTTAACTTCAAAATTTTGATAAAATTCGATACGTTAAACGTAACGATATTACATCATTAAACAACCTTTACTAGTTTTCCGCATAACTTGTGTTTCAAACTCACAATATATGTGTGAATAAACAAACTTTGCAAATCAAATTACGTATAACACACATTTTCACATCATTATTCAAGGTCCATAAATAGAAAGATATTATCATAAATCTTATAATATATTAAAACTTGTGATATAATTATAATTTTTTTAATCTCAAAAAAAAAAAATGTCTTCGAATTATATTTGTTTCTCTATATTTCCCTCTCTTTGTTACTGCTATTTCATCTCTGCCAAAATCCCAAAAGGTATTCCAAGGCTAATTTCACTTCTCCCCATTTTTTACCTCTTCACAATTCTCCCACTGTACTTTTCTTCTGCGTTTCTCACAGCAATCACCACTTTCTCCATTACATGGCTTGCCATCTTCAAGCTCGTGCTCTTCGCTTTCGATCAAGGTCCGTTAATTCACAATGCATCCAATCCAAAAATCATATCACTCCCCGTCTTCATTTCCATAGCCGCTCTACCTCTCAGAACCACCTTTACACCGAACCCTAACAGAAAAAACCCGATGAGTTCAGCTGTACAACTTGTCATATTTGCGGTACTCATGGAGATTGTTCTTCATCACAAAAGTGTAATTCATCCAAAATTAGTGTTGATTTTCTACAGTGTGATGATTTTCCTTATGATTGATATTCTAATTGCGTTGCCTTCTCTTATCGTTAAGAATTTTCTGTGTTTAGATATAGAAATTGAATCACCATCGGATGAACCTTATTGCTCAACTTCGCTACAGGATTTTTGGGGAAGAAGATGGAACCTCACCGTAACACATACGCTGCGTTTCACGGTATATAATCCGGTGAGGTTAGTGTTGTTGAATGTGATTGGTAGGAAGTGGGCCCAACATAGTGCCTCGCTGGCAACTTTTTTAGTTTCGGGATTAATGCATGAGCTGATATTTTACTATGTTAATAATGGCGTGAGACCTTCGGGAGAAATAACGGGCTTTTTTATGTTACACGGGCTTTGTTTATCGGTGGAGATTGAGGTAAAGAAGGCTTTGAAGGATACATTGCGGTTGCCCGGGCTTGTTTCGGGCCCATTAGCGGTTGGGTTTGTGGTGGTTACTGCATTTGGGCTTTTTTTCCCACCAATAATTAGGAATGGTGTAGAAAAAAGTATACTCGAAGAAGTTGGGTTTTGCTTTGATTTTCTTAAAGATAAAATGCTTCAATTTGTTATTTTTGATAACATTTGTAATTTTGGCTACTAATGTGATGTATCATTATTGATTAATTTTAGATTTGGTCTTCTCATATATACTAATTTCTCCGTTTTAATTTTCTTTTTTCTTCCGTCTATAACATGTTTACAATCACATAATTAAAATATTTTTTAACATATATTTTACATATACTTTAATTTTAAATCACGAATATAAAGGCTATCTTATGAAAATAGATAAACAAATTAAAATAAAGGCTATCTCGCCGAAAAAGAGACACTTCATTTAATAGACTAACAAATTGTATATTGTAATGAATTTTTTCAGTGTACTTCATGAGTTTATATGAATATAGAATTTATTGATTTAAAAATTTTGGTACGAGGGATCTTTTAGTATGTTAGGCAAGATATTTTTGAAATAAAAAAATAGTAATGTTTGATTTCTTGTGTGGTTATTAACTTGAGGATAAATTGTATTAGAATTAATAATCAATATTAGGATTCAATAATAGAGCAAGATAAAATGATGAAAGTGACAAAAACATCATGAATCCTCAAATCTTTTACTATTAAATAAGATTAATGGTATTTTAATGAATAAATATTTTTTATAACTTAATATATATTATTTTTTATATAACAAATCAAACAATTATAATATCATAACAACAATTCAAATACTATTAATCTCATCATAATTTGTAATTCAAATCGAACAATCCTTACATTATTATAACCAAAGAATGTAGTACAGTAGATGAAGTTATTCATTCTTTAATTAAAGGTTTTAGACTCAAGTCATGGGTGTAAAAAAAATCCTTCACAAAAGAGTGTTTTCCCTCGAGTGAGATTCTACAGCGACAAAAATCTATAATAATCAAGCTCTAATACGAATTTCAGACATAAAAATTAAAAAAATTTGAAAAGAAACTTACATTACTACTTTTTTTGGTGTGACACATGTATATACCATTTGTGGTCTTTATTTAATTCACTTTTTAAGTAGTCTAGTTTGGTAGGTGAAAATAGATCAATAGAGAACACACACACACTCCTTTTGTTAGTGCTATAAATCATAAAGAGAGGGGGCAAAAATCCAAAAAACAACCAAAGTCCAAGAAAATGTCATCAATTAACATTTGTCTCTCTATAATCCTCTCTCTTTGCTACTCCTATTTCATATCATCCAAAATCCCCAAAGGTATTCCAAGGCTAATTTCACTTCTTCCCATTTTTTACCTCTTCACAATTCTCCCACTTTACTTTTCTTCTTCATTTCTTATAGCACTCACCACTTTCTTCATTACTTGGCTTGCCAATTTCAAACTCCTCCTTTTTGCCTTTAATCAAGGCCCTCTTTCTTCATTCACACAAAAAAATGCAACAAATCTTCCTATATTCATTTTTATGGCTTCTCTTCCTCTAAGATCCAAACAAAATATGAAAAACCCCACCAAGAAAATCCCATTAAATCTAGGTTTAGAGTTTGTCCTTTTTGCAATTTTCTTAGAGTTGACTTTTCATCATAAAAGTCAACTCCACCCTAAATTAATCTTGATTTGTTATTGTTTCTTGGTTTTTCTCATGATTGATATTCTTGTAGCATTATCTAGCAATATTGTTAAAATAATCCTAGTGGGGTTTGAGTTAGAATTAGAGTCACCATCAAATGAACCTTATTTATCAACTTCCCTTCAAGATTTTTGGGGAAATAGGTGGAATCTCACCGTAACCAATACACTTCGTCTCACCGTATACAACCCGGTAAGGTCAGTATTGTCAGAAGTTGTCGGGAGGATGTGTGCCCTACGTGTTGCCGTGCTGGCAACTTTCGTCGTATCCGGTTTAATGCATGAGCTTTTGTTTTATTACGTTAATCGCGTGAGCCCTTCGTGGGAAATGACGGGCTTTTTTGTGTTACACGGGCTTTGTGTGATGGTGGAGATTGGTGTTAAGAGGGCTTTAAAGGATACGTGGCGGCTACCGGGCTTTGTTTCGGGCCTGTTAACGGTTGGGTTTGTGGTTGTTACTGCTTTTGGGCTTTTTTTCCCACCAATAATTAGGAATGGTGCTGATGAAAGGGTACTTCAAGAAGTTGGGTTTTGCTTTGACTTCATCAAAGCTAAAATGGTTCAATTTGTTGGTTATTTTAGATAAATTTTGTAACTTTTGGTTATTATAAGAAAAGTTGATTTGTTCATTTTGGATATCTATATATAATTGTTGTTATATTATAATTTTATGTTCGTTAGACAAAACACGCGTATAATACATATCTAATACTTTTGCTTGTGGAAGAGGGGAGGCTTTGGAATAGTGTGTTGCTCTCACTTATGTTCACTTTCGTTTTAGAAGTCAGAACTTACACTTGCATCTCAAACAAAAATATGATACCTCAAAAGTGGCTATTTGGTAAAGGATTGATCAAAAGAGTCCAGCTATGGCAGCCCAAGTCCAGTAACTCCGGGTTGGGCTTGTACTTTAGGCCCATTTATGGACTTGAAACATCATATGGACATGGGTAACCTAAATATATAATTTAGGGAAAATTATATATAATAGCAAACTAATAACCTAAATTAAATGTAATAGCTAGGGTTTGATTTAATTGTGCTCCATAGCAAACGTTGGCAAAAATTTGCCAGGCGTCTCTCTCCCAGAAGTCTCGCTCGCCACTCTCCCATTCTCGCTTTATACACAGAAGTGTATAATTTCTGTTTCTGTTTTGTATAAAGCGAGAGAAAATTGTATATACACATGCAAAAATGTATATCTTCGAGTTATACACTTAATTATATAATTTACAAACATTTTACTTCAAATATTGCAGAGAAAAAGGCCAAAGAATCATACAATTGTGAATTATACAATTGCAGTGAAATACAACTTTTTCTAGTTTTATACAACAGAAGTGTATATATTGTGTTTCTGTTTTTGTATAAAGCGAGAAAAACATATATCTTCTTGCTATACACTTATAATTATGCAATATGCATACATTTTTATTCGATTCAACTCTATGCAAAGCTAATTATACAATTGCAGCGAAATAGGCCAGCGAATTATACACTTGTATATGTATAGCGAATTATACAGTTTTTATGTTTGCTATGGAGCGCAATTATGCAAAGTTTGCTATAGTATACAAATATGAATTTTTTATTTGCTATATGTGAAAGTTGCCCTATAATTTATGCTAGTGTTATTTTAATTTTTTTAAATCGTTATTTAAATATTATCTCTATTTTTAAAAGTCTCGTAGATATAGTGTTTTAGAAAACATTAGACTATGGTCTGTTGTTCGGCTATTCACTTATATATTATTCACTCTTATAGATAAAAGATTAAATTGCTATTTTGTTTATACTTGTTCCAAATTAAACGTTCGTTTTCATATTATTTTTATCTTTTTCAACGTAAAACATTTTTCTATACTAATAATATATATATAGTACTTTTTTATTTGGATATACCCTTTGTTAAAATATCCTTGTAGCTCACTCCATGTCCTTTCTTTTTCAACCTACCACCTCTTGTCTATTTTTAGCTTTCGTTTTTTTTTTTTTGTTTTCTATAATTTCCTTCTTCTTTTTTACCGTGGTATTCGGGTGTCGTTTTGTGAATTCGACTAGTTATATCAATCGAGTTTCTCTATTTCAAGGCGGGTGCATCACGGTTAATTTCATGGGACCTTGGAGACGCAGTCGATTTGTTATGTCTCCATATGGCCTTGCTGGGGCTCAAACTGGTGACATGAAGGACTTTGTTCTCAGGGCCTTACCAGCTGAGCTTTATTTGTTTATCATTTTATGTTTACTCTAATTGTTTGGAAAAAAATATTACTGTTACCACAAGAATTCAAGAATTAACTTCATGATCCAATAAATCTAAGTGAACTTGTATATAAAGCAAATTCATCCATTTATCTATTTAAATACTCCCTGATTTCTACTCCTTCCGATCGAACTTAATAGTTAATTTAAACACTATTTCTTTTTACACATTCATTATACATGTATAAATTATTGATTTTGAACTCAATAATTTCACATGACTAGGATCACAATTCAACACGTTTTAAACGCTTATGAGTGTGTACAAGTTACCCGCACCGTGCCTCTCGCTAGGACATAAATTGCAAGTTTGATCAAACTTAATAATTGATTCAGACTCATTATATATTTTTGAAACGTTCATTAATATGTGCAAATTACTAATTTTGAACCCAATAACTTACACAAAATTAGAATCACAAATCAATACGATTCCTAATTTTAATTCCGCCTATGAGCATGCATATGCGTTACCTGCACCATCAAGAAACAGAGCTACGATGTCAGTTTCAGTCGAACTCAATAACTTTGATTCAAACTTTATACGTAATTTAAAAAATAAATTATAATTATACAACTCAATAACTTTAAGGAAAAACTCATATGTTTCAAATATCAATTTTCAAATACCACATTTTTTAAAAAAGGGAAATAAAAGAAGAAGTTTATGTGTACCATAGTCCATATACAAGAGGAAAGTGAGAGGAGTAAAAAAACAAAATATTTATTTGTTTGAAAAAAATCTAAAACCCTAAAATCAACACTACAGAATTTTGGGTAAACTAAAATACAGAGAAAGCAACAATGGCGATTTTAGGGCTCTCAAATCCAGCAGAATTAGCTTCTTCTCCGTCTTCTTCCTTAGCTTTTTCTCATAGGTTGCATTCTTCCTTCATTCCTAAACAATGCTTCTTCACCGGTGTTCGCCGGAAAAGTTTTTGCCGGCCTCAACGTTTCAGCATTTCAAGTTCATTCACTCCGATGGATTCTGCTAAAATTAAGGTCGTCGGCGTCGGTGGAGGTGGAAACAATGCCGTTAACCGTATGATTGGTAGTGGTTTACAGGTATCTATCCTCTTTTCCTTTTTGTCCCTTTCTCTTTTTCTCAATTTTGTTGCTTTATGGTAAAAACACGAGTTTTGTTGTAGTATCTTATCTACTGTTTCAAGTTTTGTTGCTTTCTCAGTGTCTTTATGTGCTATTTCCAGTAAAAAAGGATACACTTGGATTTTATTTAATTTTTGGTTATTTGTTCATCTTGTAGATACATATTCAAGAGAAATGTTTTCAAGTTAGCTAGCTATTGAAACTCCAAAAGCATTGAGGATAGAAATGAGAGTAAAAAGAAAAAGGAATTAGTTTCCATAGGAACTCAGTAAGAGCATTTTCGTTTGGTTCATATTTTAACTGTTATACATGTCATGAATTTTGATAGTTCTGTTTCTGAAGTTATTGATCAGAATATGATTGGTTGCCTGTTTCTGGCTTCCTTGATTGGTTTTGGGAACCACTCTGTCTTCAAGTGAGGCCTAAACTTCTTGTTGTATGCCTATTTGTCGATATTTGCATCAAAGTTTGTATCTCAATGCATAATGAAGAAATAATAGGAGAAAGGTATTTTATAGGCTTTCTTATCCAGGCTCGGCGAGAATAAGACGAGAGACTATGCTCTATGCTTTGTTCCTGCCACGTCTGGAGCTACAGTGTAACATGGGGTTCAGGCGAACCAAGTAGCTTTTGCGTAGACTTGTATTTGTACTAAAAACTCAAGAAACAAATGTATTGTTGTTGACGTGTGAAACAACACACAAAAACAACCGGATAGTTCAGTGGTGCGTGCGTGGGCTGCCGAAGCTTTTGTGTCCCCTAGCTATATGGGTTTGAAACTCGGTAGCTGCGCGTCATTTTTAGTTGAATTTTTGCTATATATGCTCTCTTTCTGAAAGGGAATATTCATTACTCTTTATTAGTTTCTCATAGATCCTTTTTTCCTTTCTATATACAATTTTTTTTTTCGGAAAAGAAAAAACCATTAAATTAATAATTGAAAAAACCAAAAAAAGTTAAATATATAGTTGTTGATGTGTGAAACAACATACGAAAATAATCGGATAGTTCAGTGGTGCGTGCGTGGGCTGTGAAGCTCTTGTGTCCCCTAGATATATGGGTTCGAAACTCGGTAGCCGCGTGTCATTTGTAGTTGATTTTTTTGCTATATATGCTCTCTTTCTAGAAGAGAATATTCATTACACTCTATTAGTTTGTCATAGTTCCTTTTTTCCTTTCTATGTGCAGTTTTTTTCCGAAAAAGAAAAAATCATTAAATTGATTATTGAAAAAACCAAATAAGTAAATTGTTGTACTGAAGTGCCATCGGTCATGTATAGTTTGCAAAACATGATAAGTATGATGATAGGTACTTATTCAAGTACAGTTTCAAAAAATTTATATAGTATTCAAGTAGTTTGTGATATTGAGTTTGTCCTTTTTTTTAATATAACAAATATCAGTGTTTGTTCATTAGTTTGGTGATTGTTAAACAATAGCTTGAGGTCATTGTCGTATCTTAAAATTCAGAACCCGTAAACCTAAAATCCTGGCTCCCCCTCTATTACTTCCTTTACTTTAGAACATAGGATCTCATAACAATCTTCTTCTTTCATTTGACTTGAGATTTCCTTTTATCTTAGCAACAAAGTGGTTACCCTTGGATTCTCTGTAACCATCTAATGATTGATTTGTGGGCATTTTGTTGACTGCCTAATTCTTTTAATGCGAATTTCTAATTCTTTATCTTCCAGAAAAGCATATGTTGGAATACAATGCCATTACAAGGTTGCATGTATACTTGTAGTGCTGGTTTACAAATTTGTGCCATGAAGAGAAGCTAGAAATATCCCTTACAAAATAAAGTAAAGGAAAGCTAGAAATTTCTTGTTGTCTATAGGATTTTTCGATCAGTTAGCTTTTTGTTATTATCTATTCTGAAAAAAAATGAAATGCCTTGTATGATCCCATCCCTTCATTTCATATGACAAATCTAAATGCTGCATGGCCAAAAATAGGGTGTTGACTTCTATGCTATAAACACGGATGCTCAAGCACTGGTACAGTCTGCTGCCGAGAACCCACTTCAAATTGGAGAACTTCTGACTCGTGGGCTTGGTTAGCACTCTTCTGTCTCTTTATAATGAAATTACTCTTTCATAATAGCTGTTTTTTCATTAATCAAATTCAACCTTGTTAAAAGAACTTCGGGAAAAACTAACATTAAGACAGTTATACTCTATCCTGTCTTTAGAAAATGACAGAGTATTACTTTATTATTATGTACATGGAATCATGTGGTGTCACATCTTGCTCTAGATGTAGATGCCTTTTGTTTTGCTATTGATTTTGAGGCTTATGTTCAATGGTTTAACAAGCACAACATTATTATGCTTCTTGATAAGCTAGTTAACTCTTTCTTTATTCGTAATGATTTGTTAAGTAAATCGCTTTTAGAGATGCAGGTACTGGTGGCAATCCTCTTTTAGGGGAACAGGCAGCAGAGGAGTCAAAGGAAGCTATTGCAAATTCTCTGAAAGGTTCAGATATGGTTTTCATAACAGCAGGAATGGGTGGAGGTACAGGATCTGGTGCGGCTCCTGTTGTGGCTCAAATAGCAAAAGAAGCAGGTTATTTGACTGTTGGTGTTGTTACATATCCATTCAGCTTTGAAGGACGTAAAAGATCTGTGCAGGCAGGTCCCATTTTCAGTTCCTTGGAGACTAGTGATTTACTTCTTTTTCTGGACTTTTGGGGATCTTTCTGCTCCACATCAATTATAGAAGGTTGAAACATGAGGATATCCAAGACGATAAAAAAAGTTGCAAGAAAATAAAAAACAAGCAATTGGATTTCTTTAAATTCTTTTGAGGTTCTGGCTTAACTAGCTGTATCAGTATCCAAAAAAGGAAGAAGAGTAGGAAATCTTTTAGGAAGATGCATTTTCATTTCTTTTAATTACTGGAGACATGTTTCATGTGGAAGGGAGTGAGGTGAAGATGGCATGAGTTGTATGGTTGCGAGTTTATAGATTAACTGTTGAGATGCACTAGAAACTTATAGTGTTCCTTGATGTATCTAAAGGATATCAAGTGCTTTCTAAGGCGAAAATGTTCACATGCTCAAGCCTGAACAAGATTACTGTCTGATTTTCTTTTTTGTGCCAAATCCTACGTTCCTTTGTCATAAAGATTTTTTGTTCATGGCAATGCTTTATTTCTCCTGTCATCCATAGTCTTTCATGTTTCTAATTTGAACTTATTGACCGACAGGCTCTGGAAGCAATTGAAAAACTTCAGAGAAATGTTGACACACTTATAGTAATTCCCAATGATCGTCTGCTAGATATTGCCGATGAGCAGACACCACTTCAAGATGCTTTTCTTCTTGCGGATGATGTATTACGTCAAGGTGTCCAAGGAATATCTGATATAATCACTGTGAGTTCCTTTGTCAATAGCCAACATCTCTTTTCTTTAAATGATATGCTGAAATTCTTCTTTGTATAATATAAATGTATAATGTCATCGTACTGGTGATGTTGCTTCACTAAATTCCTTAAACACACTTGCGGACACTCACCAACACTGATAAGGGCGATGATTTTTTTCTGTACTAAATATTTTCATAAAGTTGCATCTGTTTAATGTTATATCAAAATAAGTTCTCCCATTAAAAAAGGATTGCAAATTTACCCATTTGCAATGTACCATGTTATTAGCTTTATTGGAGTATGCATATAAATCTAGATATAATATGAACTGGTCCTTTTTCGGTAGATTCCTGGGCTTGTGAATGTGGATTTTGCCGATGTAAAGGCAGTGATGAAAGACTCTGGAACTGCAATGCTCGGAGTGGGTGTTTCATCAAGTAAGAACCGAGCTGAAGAAGCAGCCGAACAAGCAACTCTGGCCCCTCTAATTGGGTCGTCAATTCAATCTGCAACTGGGGTAGTATATAACATTACAGGAGGAAAAGACATAACTTTGCAAGAAGTGAATAGGGTGTCCCAGGTAATGATGAACACTTTTTCTTTCTCTTTCTTCTGTTCTTCCTACCTCCAGAAGTATTAAAGAAACCTTTGGCTCTATATTAAACGTTGGCAATGTTTCTCACAGGTTGTTACCAGTCTAGCTGATCCCTCTGCTAACATCATATTTGGTGCTGTTGTTGATGAGCGTTACAATGGTGAAATACACGTGACAATAATTGCAACTGGTTTCACCCAGTCGTTTCAGAAGACACTTCTATCTGATCCACGGGGAGCAAAGCTAATCGAGAAGGGGGCAGGAATCAAAGAAAACATGGCATCACCTGTTACCCTGAGATCATCAAACACACCTTCAACAACCTCACGGACACCTACTCGAAGGCTGTTCTTTTAGCTCCTTCATATTGTTTTATTTTACAGCTTCATTACTCTCCTTTTTAGTTTCTTCCTTTGTAGTTAACATGTTTTGCTGAAGGGAAACTGATTGGTGTTTGCATGTGGCTGTAGAGATAGTGATTATTCTTTATCAGATGCATATTCAGCTATGCTCTCTTGTGACATGCACGTTTTTACGCATGTAAAAATATTGATACCCTGTGAAGTTAAATGCTAATTTCATAGGAACAGAATGGCTATGGAAATATACAGCACAAAGGGACAAAGATAAGCAGATAACCCACATCTGTTAGAAGAGACATGCTGTGAAAAAACATTATACTTGTACATTCATAAGTCCATATCCCGGCCAAAGCTAGGATATGGAAATTCTACCTTTCTACGAACATTTCACCCTCCCTAGACTTCACTTGAGGGATTGCATTGGGTGTGTTCTTGGCTAAAGCTATTGAATCTTGATCATCGTTTCTAAAGGAATAATATTTGAGATGTGGGGTCTAAAGTATAAAAATGTAGTATATATTAAAACGTTAGATACATACTACTACCCAGAGATGTGAACAATATAGATGCATAGAAGAGGATCACAAAAAGAATGACAATTCAGGGGAAGGTACAAAGAATAACATACTTTCACCAAAATAATCAAATAGAGGTGGCAACAAATTTGCAGCATCCATATCCTTCTTCAGGGCCTGACCAGGAGCAGCTGGTGTTTTTTGGCTTTGCCCGCCAGTAATCTCCCTTTTGCTGGGTTTCGTCACATTGGTCACATTCTTATTTTGCAAATCTTGTGGACTTGATGATAAATCCCCATCTGTAACAGCCAGAACTGTGTCACTTGATGATAAATCCCCATCTGTAACAGCCGGAACTGTGTCATGTCCATCGGTAGCTCCTTGTATGTCTGCTGACAAAGAATCTGATAGCATTGGTGTAGGACCATCTGTCACTAATTTCTTGGTTGGCGGCTGTGAGACCATGTTGTCCATGCTCGTTTTGCGTTTGTCTAGATAATTATGAAACGGCATTGAGAGAAGTGTATTGATAATCAACGATGACAAAAGTAACATTTTGCATTTGCCACTAGACATTCATGGAAGAGGACTTCCATGGAAACATACAGAATCAATAATGCAAAAGCTTATAGGGATATACATATATACACATTATTTCTTCACTGTAAATGCTTTAAGATATTTGAGGCTTACTGAGTTCCTAATTAGTATCTAGATACCAAGTGAGAGCACTACAACCTTCACAGGTGTTTCAGACAGAAACATGCTGGCATTTTTCTAAAAATTTAGCATACAATTTCCACATGTATCAAAAAATAGAAGCCAATCTGATCCACAAGACCACAACTAAGATATTAATGACTATCGAGATCTATCCTACAGAATGTATCATTCTAAACGAATTTTGTATTGGCAGTTAGAGCAGAAAGACACTCAGTGGACAATTTAACACAAATATTTCAAAAACCTGAGTTTAGCAAGGATAAAATTAGTAAACTTCAAGACATACTCGGCAATGTAGTCAAGACTTTTAATTGACTCTTCAGGAATGTCTGATTTGATTGACACAGAGATGCAGGAAGCATCTTGAAATGCTCATACATGCATAGACCCGCAGCGCACTGTAAACGAAAACATAGTTGGAAGAGTCTTCATCAGTGAAGTAGAATATTAATCCGAAATGACAAGTCATGTTAGGCTGCATAAAACATCACAAAAGAAATAAGTTGATGAAATGACAAAGAAAAATGCTTGGATCATGCAAGCAAGCTACCATTAAGGCCCCATATACGCGCCAAGCTTCATGTCTTTTCACTTCATTTTTTTGTTTCTCAAACTGCATTTCAGGCTCCAACAATCGCAAATAAGCTTCAAGATTTGGCAGCACAAGCAGGCGAACCTACACAAAATATATAAGCATCACATATTGCAACAAAAAGTTGTGCCTTAGTCCCAAACAATATTGAGTCAGCTATACAAATCCAAATTGACCACGTTCCCCATTTAAATATTACAGATAGCTAATATCTTTAATTTTAGAAACAATGAAAAGATAAAAAAGAAGTAAAGGGATATCAAGGAGATACCACACCAGGTCCAAGAGCTGCTAGCCCTTGAATTGCTCCATAATGCTGTGGCAGTGCCTTAGCTGGATCAAGATAAGCATGCAGCAGAGTCTTCGTGACACGTGGTTGGAGACTGTGATAGACATGACCATATCTGCGCAGCAATAACTTGTGAACGACAGAGTCTCAATAAACCATGGAGATTTAACCAAGATCATGGAAGTGAACGACCAACAATTGCCAAGTACTTTCGTTTCAAGCAGATTAAGATATGCTTTACACGTGTCAACAATTATACAAATATATAACCACCCCCTGCCCCCCCTAAGACTCCATAAAAATAGTAGGCAGCATAGGAGATGCATGCTTTCTTAGCCTTTGATGAAACAAAACCAAGAGAACGACTGAATAAAGAGATCCTTACCGCCTGCATATTAAAGCAATCAACTTTGCTGTGAAGTCCCTTAGCTCCCAATGGTCGTCAGCGAATTTATTCCCCAGCCTTTTCGCAACAAGGCATGTCATTACAGACGGCATCGACTGGTGCAGCTGGAAAGGTTAACAAGAGAATCAACAGATGCAACTATAGCAACGTCATTCAGCACCAAAGCCCAAAGTTGCAGGATTAAGCCCAAACCAAATTTCCAGTTATGCATAAGACTAATTTAATGAACAAGTAATTTAAGAACTTAGTCAGAGTAAAGAAAATTCATGTTGTTCCTGAAAGCTAACTCCATCTCTTTTCTTAACAGACATCTACTTAGTGTCCACCGTGATTCTCCAGGGACATAGTAAGGTTTGAGAAATTCAATTATAAAAATGAGTTCTAGCTTTATAGAGTTAGTTTTTATTAATGTTTTATCCGGCATCCTTCTATAAAAATAAAATGAATAAATAACATCAAATTATTATAAAATATGGTCATCAAGGATAACCAGATTTATAAAGAAAGAGATTATAAAAATTTATCCTGCATCCCTTGAAAAATAAAAGGATAAATATACAGAAGTAAATGGCACTGAGATATCAGCAAGGGACTCACATATGGTTCAATATGTAAATGAGAATTTTGAAGAAGGCTCCAGACCAGCCTCATCAAAGCAAAAAGGAGATCAAAATTATTCAAATTCCGTGCAACCTGACATAAAACAGAATATCATTACATCATTTATCTCACCTACAAATGTTACATTACTGGACTTGAATTGACCTATATCTACCTCATCAGCAACAAAATATGTGAAGTACGGAACTAAGGGGTGGAGCCCAGGGTCTGTTGCTAAGCTTGCTAAAGCTTCTTTGAAGAGAGGGGAGTTGGATTTGTTCATGATAAGCTCTGTAATCTTGTCATAATAAAGCTGCAAAACAACCAAAGATGAATAAGGATAGAATCATATGGTATGGGCAAAGAGGACGCAACCATATTGGTCAAGGTGTACCTGAAGCTCACGGGATAAGACATGCTTAACAGGTACTTTAAGATCAACAGGAACTCCATCCTCCTTATACTCTGCCTTTTGGTTATCAGGAGGTGGAACAAGTGCTGCCATGAAATTAATCTGTCAGTTCCCAGTACAAATTTTATTTTTTGACGAGTTCCAGATATAAAATAACATCCATTATGAATTTTAATTGGTTCTGTTTCATCACTATTTTCTTCCATTTTTTGCAGCCAGAGAGCAGAGAGAAACAAATACCAAACCAGGACAACGAAGAGAATGAGAATCAATATCGTCTTGATAAAACAGCGCACAACAAACAACAGATAACTGGAGAAACCATCATCTATGTATGTTAACATGCTACACAAGTAATTGCTGCTAAGTTATTGTAAAAGAAGAACCTTCAAGTGGAGGGTTTTCGGGAATAGCAGGCTGTACCCCTTCTATAGCTAACCAATGAGCAAAAAGAGCAGTATCTAATGGTGCTTTTGGCAGAGGTGCTTCAATCACCTAAAACGCAGAAAGAGAGAACTTACTATACTTCTAGTCCAAAGAAAAAAAGTTGGTAGCTAACCGAAGATATTCAAAATTTCTTACATCTTTGAATTCTATATCCTTCTCTTCAATATAGAACAAATCCTTATGCCCAGCAGCTCTCCTGAATCGTAAGGGATCTCCCGAAGCAAAACCATATATTGGCTGCGCAAGGCACACATATATAACACAGAAAATAAAAGACAACCAATAAGAACAGATAAGTTTTCACAAAATGATTAGAGTCAATACAATGACAAGCATTCAAATATCTTATCAATGAGCAAGGCTGGATGAACATCAGGGCAGTAACTGTAACCTCACCACTGCCTTCAACTCGTAGAAATTCTACACTGAAAATAGTGAATCTAGTGATAAATCCACACCCTACTTACTTATTATCCTGGAGATTTTTTAGTTAATAGGCGAGTTACCTCCACATTTCTCAAGGTGAGTGCAGAATCAACATCATCAGTAGATAAAGTAGTTCTCTTCGAATGGCGCATACACTTTATAGCCTCCTACATTATCAACCAAAAAATCCTATAAATTCACGTGAGGCACAATAATCACCTAAATTTTGAATTTCACAACATTTTTGTTATCTCGAACAGCAAAGTTTAATACAATAATGCGAGCGCCGAGCTTCAAACATGAAATAGAACAGCTGTAGCAAATAGAGATTGACAAATTGGATATGAAGAGGCACCTGCATAATTTCCCGAATACGGTACTCGACGTCGGCGGCGAGAGCTGGCAAGACATCCGGTGATAAATTGCTTATTCCGATGCTTTGTGATATCACGTCGATTGCCTCTTCCGGCACTGTGCTCATTTTTCCGTTAAGAGCAGTTACGGTGACGATTTCAGATGTAAGGTCGACGGGATTATGCCGGAGTAAGGAGAGATAGAAGATTACACCAAGTGAAAAAAAACAAGGAAAGATTTACAATTAATCTGTCCCTTTGGACATAAATAAGATTTGAAATATTTCAATGATATTTTAAATGAAGTTTACTTATTTATTTTACAAATTGATTCGTATTTCAATTTTAAACTTTGGAATATAGATTTTGAAAAGTTATAATTCCTACCACACAATAGTGCACTAGATGGCGGAGAGCTAACTATAAAACTTTGACCAATTCGGACACATACTTTGTGAAATGGTTCATGCATGTTTGTTACAATAAAATTTTTATCATTTTCAATCTACGTTAAAGCACCGATCATATTCTAACTTCAAACTCCACCGATCGTGAATAATTTCAATTTGCTTTTCCTAGCAAAAATTTAATTTTTTTTTCACATCCAAGAATAATACGTTAATCTCTTGCAAAACGATGAGTGACTAGTCACACGAGTAATGCATCTTGCTTTTGTTATTTGCCCAAAGAACTAATGCAACACTTGTGTTTGTTGAACAATACAATGTCTGGCTACCAAAATCACAAGCAAGCATATAAAGGTGTAAGTTTCGAAAGTATTAACACTAGTTTCACTCAAATATTGATAGACTTTGGAAAATGCTTTCGACGTCTTTTTTACATATAGAAACATATCAAGTGGAGAAAAAGACTTCAAGGTTGTCTCGACACACTGATGTGAGTACAATCACGAAAACATCGATTACACAGGAGGAAACAGAAGGAGATGTTCGATATCTAATACACACACTTCTCATACACACTCCAAAGTACTTGTTCTTTTGCATTTACAGATACTTAATCAACATATATATTGCCACAACAAGAATGACAATTCCAAGCACCGCTAGAAGCATACACATGCAAGAGCAACCACCCTTTGTGCGTTTGTTCAAAATTCCAAGCTTTCTCTGCACCCGCTGTTGAATTATTGGGGAAAAAGAGGAAAGAAAATGAATCAAGTGACAACAAATAATTCTCACCAAGAATACAAAAGCTGAAGAAAATGAGACTGATAAGAACCGTCTTATTGACAGAGCAAGTGTTTGTATTAAAGTGTGCGTTGGTGCAGACACTAAGTTTAGGTTCTTTTTTATTTTTCCTTCTTCTTTGGATAATGGTGTCCTCCCAGCCAACTTGCTGCACATCGACTTATCCACCGGGTCACTCTACTTAACAAAGCTTAGGTAGATAAAAAGATTTCACCTAGTTTCGCCTCTCTAGGATTCAAACATTGTGCCAAGGTTGTAACTCCAGTTATTTCAACAGCTAGGCCACCCCTTTGCAGGTAGAATACTTTGTTTGGTAAAACCAGTTACTTTGCCTTTATATCAATGTCTCTCCTCACTACCACCACCACCCCACCCACACACACACAAAAAAAAAAAAAAAAAAAATTTACATATGTTCCTCTTCCTCCTTAACCTCTTTTGGTAATTCAAACACATCAGGATTATGGAATTGACAAAAATAATCAATATCCTGACAGTTCATCTGACCCCCTCCCCCATCAAAAGACAAACAAAGGTTATCCAAATGACACAAGCGAGAAATGTGACCACATGAATGTCAATTTCATGTATCATCATCAGGACGAAAGTGCTTTCCCTTCAATATCAAAAGAAAAATGTGACTACATGAATGTCAATTACCTGTGTCATAAGAAGGACACAAAAACTTTCCCTTCACTTATCCTTAATGTTCTAGCAACTCACCATTTTTTAAGCGCACACAACCAATCTCTAGATACCATCCCAATAACAAAGAAGCCCTCAGGGTGCAATGCTTAAACTTCTAAGTATTTTAACCTATTACATCCTGAACCCTAAACACATGATAGCTTTATACCTTCTTCTCAAATTAAACAAGACATGATTAGTCATTCCAAATTGCAGAGCCATCCACACAGATTCTGCGGTGCTGGAAGATGTCTATAGACTTGAGACTCCTAAAAGAATATATTAAGTCCAATGCTCACCAGAACAAGAGTTATCCTAAACAAGTTCTCACCTGAAGTCTTGAGTCTGTAACATCAACATGTTCGTCCAGGTCATCCTGCATTTTTGGTAGGACAATGAAATCAGTATCCACTTTAGTAGCAGAAAGGTTTTACTCCCTTAAGAAAATTGAGAGTAAAGTATAGTTTAATGTAAAGCAGAAAGTAGAGATCATACAATAAGTCTTGTTTGCAAGCCAAGTTCTTCATTAACTGCCAGTGCTATATGTTTAGTGCTCATCACTGTCTCCTCCAGACTCTCAAGGCCCTCATCTTGCTCTGATTTGAGAGTAACGCAAACAAATAAGAAAAATAACAGAATAAAAACCGAAAAACTAAATAACATTTCAAACTTAGTACTTCTTGCCTCTAAATTAATGTAACACTGTGTGCGTGGAGTTTAAGATGTTATTATGACTTGTATATAATATTAGTAGAGGGCAAAGCAATTAGTTAGACAGGGAATCATATCATTTAAATTTGACTAGCTACATAAATTTGAAGAGCTTCAATGAGGATTCATATAGCCGAGTCCAACTTGTTTCAACTGAAGCATAGTTGTAATTGTTTACATAAATTTGAATTCTTGAAAGCTGTGAAAATAATTTCCAATATAATTGTCACCAAAGTTTAAATTTGAGCAGCCAAATAAGAGAAAAGAGTGTCATACAAACTGGGAATGGAGGAGCAGAATAAAACTCACCTTTCATAATTTGCCGTTGAAGACCGACAACGCCATTATTGTCAAGACCTGTTGCTCTGCTCATAGCATCCACAGGCTTTATTTCTGGTCCAAGCAAACTGTCCCTATTCGCGAAGCTTGACATGTTCAATGTGGAAGCCATTTGAGATACTTTCGATTTTAAATTTGCAAGCATATCCTTGCGACGGTTCATCTCTTTCTCTGACCTACATACAGGAGGGAGAGTGCTCAAAAAAACATACAGAAGGCAACATAGCAGTAGTAACAGAATACACAGTTTTTTCGAATCTATATATGGACGGTGCAGTATGCAAACAAACTTTATAGGGACTTTTGAAAGAGACAACTGTTTACACTATTAAGTCAGATTGCAGAAGAGAGTCTCAACATTCTGAATTACCATATAGACAATGCACATAAAACTTACTGCATAAACCAACCTAAAGTTTTATTTCAGCAATTCATCTCCATGGAACTCTCTATATTTCAACTAAATGTGTTCTACAAATTCATAAGATTATCAAGGAAAAAAGGAAAATTATACTTTTTACTGTTTATTAGTTGGCACTAAGGTATGGCCCAACCACAAGGCTGAAAATTCAGTAGTACTAAGTTCATGCTTGATTTAGGGGGTGTTTGGATTGGTTTTTTTAAGTAGCTTAAAAGCTAAAAGCAATAAGTTGGTCATAGCCAACATTTATCTTTAAGCTTATTTTTCTACTATTTTAGCCTAAAAGGAAGTGCTTAAAAGCATTTTTAGTCTTTCCAAAACACCTCCTTACTTAGCTTTTAGTAATAAAATATAAGACCCTAGGAAATTTTGATTGAAAATATGTGCTCCATTAGGCATAAAAGAGTTGGAAAATGAAAATCAAATTGAAATGTCATTTCTAAACAAAATTTAATTAGAAACACATTCAACTAAAGTCCCCCCCCCCCTACATTACCATTGCAGCCACACAATGAGAGAATCAGATAAAGAACACTCACAAAGGCTGCTTTCCAGGAAGCTTTGACAGGATAGACTGTAAGTTATCAAGTCTAGTTCCTAAAATAGTAATCTTCCTCCTTATAGCGGATGAATGACGCTGTGCTTCTGGGCCCGAAGCAGGCAATGAACTCCTTTCAGATATCATGTTAGTGATATCATCCGCGAGTTTCAGTCCTTCGTTATACTCCCGGATCCATGAATCTCCAGAAGAAGCCATTACCTGAAGAGACATTAGAAAGAAGTACATTAATTTCTGCACTTTGACTGCAACTCAAGATTATTTTTTAAAAAAAAAAAATGTAATGAGAATTGTAACCCTTTATGCTTCTTTTCCATCATTAGAAGTGCTTCATGGATGGTCCACCAAAACAAAAATATGGATTAAAAGAAAACCACATAAAAACAAAGGGCACGGAGATACTAAATCAAATCTGGAACAGAACTTCACTTTCTCATATAATGTGCAACACCATCCACATCCAACAACTTAGTCCAAATATATGAAAAACTAGAGGAACATCACAATTTCAGTTTGATCTGAGATCAAATTAACCTTGGTTTCCCAATTAAGTAGAACTGCACCTCCTCCACCAACCGTCCTCAAAAGAAAAAGAACTAAAAGCAACATAAAGAATAAAAAGGAGAAAAAATAAGAACCAGAAATGTGATCTTGAAGTTTGTAATGCATTTGTTCCTTCCTACACAACTAGATATTAGTATAGCCTATAGGATGAAGATATATTGCGATACATACGAAAAAACATACCTAATTTTTTGTCATATTATTTTTGTATGTAAATCAATTATTACAACATGAAATACTAAAACAGAAACCAACTTATTCTGATGAAATGCCATAATTACTTCGCTTTCTCCTAGCTAATCCAATACAAATACGAAATGTAAAACTCAACAACAAAATTAACTCAATTGCGAAAAAATGTGGCTACAATTATATGAAACGGCTAGTATGAAACTGAGCTACAAAAATTAACTTAAATAACAGCCAGACAAAGTAAAAGGCGGCTACAATTACACGAAACAGCAAAAAATCCCAAAGGTCACCCAATCCAGAACCCTAATTCTTCATTTGCAAGAGTATAAAAGACCAAAAATCAATACACTACATAATTAAAGTCAAAAACACCAATCTCTGCCGAATTACGGATGATTGAATTTCATTCGAGTTGATCAGTTGAAAAAATTCAAAAAAAAATAATTTATTTTTTAAAAAAAAGCAAAATTATTGAAATGATCGAACATAGGTCAAGTGACGAAGAGTTACAATTACCTCTTTCTGATCTGAATTCACGGTGGCGATGGTGGAATTGTGAGAGAATTTTGGAGAGAGAAACGGCGAGTCGGAATAATTTTAAAGAAGACGTGCCGCTAACTTTACCGGCAAAGTTTGTCCAG